ATAAACATAGGAATCAACTTTGCTTTGTGTTTTACGAGAGTATAGTAACAGTAGTTTTTTGACTAAGAGTGTGGATAACTTCCTCTGTCAACTTAAGAATATCAGGATCACTTCAGTCTCCTTGACTCTGGTTTTGTCTCTTCTTGGTTCCTTAGCACAATCAGCTGATGAATCTCACTTCCATAACTATATACCATAGTTTGTGAGCCCATTATGACCCAGTCAAGGTTATACTGGCAGCTTCAGTTCTACCATCTAGTGGTAAGACTGTTTCAAATACCAAGTCATCCTCTAATGATATATAATGTGAGGGGATGTCTAACAACTGTGTGTGGCATGTACTTGTCTACCTGCTTTCCATGAAGTTGTTGTAAGGTCCACCTTTGCTTGTCTGGAGTCTTTTACATATATCTCTTTTAAAAAAATAGAATGAATAAATAAATAAGTGAAAAAGAGACAAATCTCTTATGGAAAACAATTCCAAATAATTTATGTAGGTATTCTACTCTTGAGGAGGTGTAGTATAGCTTCCCACTCATTAAGTGTAGTCAGTACATGATGACTTTTTCCCTAGAGTCTAGAAAAGGGGACAGAAAAGAAATTTTATAGTTAAAAAACCCAAGAAATACAATTGCATCCAGGTAGTCAAGGTCAATGACAAAAGTACTAGGTCAATAGAAGGGAAATTATCAAAAGAGTAGAGCAAACATATCAGGGAGGAATAAAGGGAGAGAAAGGGAGGTACTGCAGAATTAGATTCATCAAATTATGTTATATGTATATATGAATATGCCATAATGAATCCCACTCATGCATAATTATAATTCACCAATTAAAAAAAAAGAATCCAAGACCCCAAAAGCATACCTTACTCTCAAGTATCTCCATTCTTTCTTCCTTTGTATATCCTGCTCTGTTGCTTGCTTTCCTGGATAAATCTTATCTTGCCTTCCTAAATTAAAAAAAAGAAGAAGAAGAAGAAGAAGAAAAGGATGATAAGTCACATGGGAAATACATACTTTTGATGTGATATAAGGAACATGACCATTCTGTGATCTTGTTTTGAAAAACTATAGCCCTAATTTATAACAGGGGGAAAAAAATCTAACACGCCCAAATAGAGGAGTACTGGGGAAGTTGGCCAAATTATATGGTTATGTTGTATAGATGTATGAATGTGAATGCACCAATGAAAAATGTGGGGCAAGTACAAATGTAGGAACATTCTCTAAAATATCTGACCAATACTTCTCAAAACTATCAATATCATAAAAACAAGGCAAGTCTGAGAAAGTTTCAAAACCAAGTGGTCTAAATGTGATGTGATATTCTGGAAAGGATTCTAGAACTGAAAAATCAGGACACAGGTAAAAAACAAGAAAATCTGAGGGTAGTATGAACTTTAATTAATGTGTCAACATTGGTTCTTTCATTATTACAAATGTAGCATAATGTAACATGAAGTAGTAGACATAGAATAAATGGAAATTGTACTATCTTCAAAATTTCTTTAAACCTAAAACATATGTTTATTTCTTTTAAAATAATATAAGAAAAACAGTGTTTATTGAACTTTTACTTTATGCCAGATATGGTACTAAAAGGTTTATTTATATTATCTCTTTGAATACTAAGGACAAAAGGATTGAGATGTGAAGTTAAGTGGATTTCTTTAGACCAAAATCTAGGAAACTGGGGAAGAATGCCAATCTATACTGTCTAATTGTATTTTTTATACTTATATGACAAGAGACATCACACAAAAAAATAATAATTATTTCACATATTTTACAAAACTAACAGTCATCAAGCAAGCAAGCCTAAGAGGAAGAATAAGAAGAAATTTCATACTTACAACAAAGGATTTTTTGTTTTGTTTTTATTTTTTTGTGGTACTAGGGATCAAACCCAAGGCCTCATACATGTCAGGAACGTGCTCTGCCACTGAGCTACACCACCAGCTCTTTTATTTTATTTTGAGACAGGGTCTAAGTTGTCCAGGCTGGCATTGAACTTAGAATCCTCCTGCCTCAGCCTCCTGAGTAGCTGGGATTATAGGAGTTCATCACTGCACCTGGCAAAAATGAATGTACATCTAAAGCAGATTGAAGAATTGAAGTTTGTATCTGCCTTTTTTTAAAGGCAAATGAAATTCAAAAAGTGATGAGTCTTAATGAAGAGTTGAAGAAAGAATGCTTACATCTTTGACTTTTAGAATTCTGGCAGGCAGAATGAAGTTGGTCAAGTATATGAAACACACACATTGGGTAGTACGACATATTCTCTAACCTATTTTGTTAAGTCAAATAGCTGTCAAGAAATTGTGAAGAAGGGAGTGTAGACTAAAGTGCTTGAGCATGACTGCTCATTTACTGTCTCCAACCCATTTTCTCTTTAGAACTGTATATCTCCTTGTCCCTGACCCAAAGCCAGGGAGGGACTTACTACACTACTCGTGCTAATCCTTTTTCCTAGAATATAGGCCTTGGACAGCAGGGAGCAAGTAGTTCATGTCCAGTATTCCAATCTGTCATTCATTTCACATTTTTAATTTATAAGTTTTTGTATATGGCCTTGCTTGAGTTATGACCTCTCCTGGGCAGTGCCTCAGTTCTGATGCCTTTTTTAATCTCCGTAAAGTTGACCCTTCATAGGTTCTCACTGATTTCAACACTCAGTAATGCCACCTGTTAAATATATGTGTCTTGAAGATTCATGATGACATTAAATGGGATGGTATCTTCATTTTTTAAATTTCTTAGAATCTCCGTGATCTAATCTGAAGTGTTTTTAAACATTTGATTGAAAAAGTTGACTTAAGCCATGAAATCATACCTTAAACACTGAATTTTTCTCCTAGAAATACAAGACTATACCTTTTCTTCACCAATTTTTGATGTAAGAAGAGGGCCATTTATTTAGTTTTGTTTACACAAAGGTTTGCATATGGTATCACTGCTTGAAGGTCTACCTTCACTATTTTTGCATCAAACATAGGATAATGTATAATCTATATAATGCCAGCCTTGGTTCACTTAAAGTAACAGACTTATTTTTAAATAAGAGAGTAAAGATAGTGCTCTCCCCATTTCTCTCCAGAATCACTCAAAAGCAACAAATACAATCAGAAATGGAGGCACAGACTCCCTTTTTGATAAAATCAAGAGGCAATTTAAATATCAAACTATGTGTATTTCAAAGTATATTGGATGTAAAAAAGGGATGTAGAAAGAGGCCAAGAGGAATTCCCAGGGTTACAAATCCTCAGAAAAACAAAAGAATACAGGTCTCCATAGTAGCATCCCCTGAAAAAGCAAAGTCAGCAATTCCTAATTGCAACAAAGGCAATCAAGGACAGTTCTTTAGTTTAGCACAGAGAAATGAGAATCTAAGGAATCACATTGAAAACTGATGTCTGTAGAAAGCAGAATGGTAAAGATTAAGCGTTCAAAGGTGTCACTTTACAGCTAATCTGAGGATGGTAGCAGAGAAGTAAAGTTTAAAGGCTTTGGTTCCGACACACAATTTTGTAAAATGAGAGTTTTTGCTGCCTTGAAATACAGGCCTGAATTCAGACCAATTCATTCTACTGTAGAAGCCTGGTCTAGAGGATATTCAATTTAATTCAAAGATGGGTGAGAGTTTTAAAAGGGCGAGGGGTACATAATCTTCTTAAGATCTATACCAAGAGGGAGATCTTTTCTGGAAGGTTTTATGCGAAATGTGATGACACAGAGCTTTGCTCTTCACTGCTTCCCTTTTATAGTTTTTAAATTCAAAATAGGTTCATGGAGAATATCATGCTAAGTAAAATTAGGCAAACTGAGAAACTCAAAGCTCTCTCAAATGTGGAAGCCAGAGTAAAATAAAGAAAAGCAGAATGGAAGGATAGAATAATATATAGAACCAATCAAATATAAATTAATAGAAGACCTAAAGGAAGTCTGATAAAGTAGAGGAAAGAGAATGAGAGAGTGTAGGGAGGGCAGGAGGGGCAAGGGGGAGTGAACTGAAACTAATTACCATGTATATATAGATATGTCTGGATGAACCCAACTACTGTGAATAACTAACTGTGAAGCTCTTAATTAAAAAAAAAAAAAAAAAACTCTTAAAAATAGGTTTTCGTGCAATAAGAAAAGGGACAGACTTTGGGGGAAAAAATTCATTTAGACATTTGCCAGGAAATCTGACAAATCCTTTCAGTTTTTTCTCTTTTTATAGATCCAGTCTTTCATTTATTTTGACTTGTAATTTGACTATAGTTTTTTTCTGGTGACTCCTTTGTGAAACCCTTCACAAAGTTGGTCAACTTAGGAAAACAACATTTCCTTTTGCATTCATCTTTCATTGGTTATGCAATGTTTATTTATATTATTACAATAACATAATAGGCATAAAAAGATTATAAATGATAACAATCGATTCAGTAAACATAAAGTTAAACTGGTGGGTGCAGAAACATGAGCATGGACTAGAAAGTGGCCATTTAGAGTAGGAGGGGTAAACATACTATGGGTATATCTTTTAGAGAAAAAATTTTAAAATAATGTTTATTGATGAATATGTTAAGTGGATGTTAGAGAGAATTATTTGAAATAATGACATTGTGTTGCTGTGTAGTCTTTAAATCTTTCTCTAGGATATAGTTGTAGTGTTTCAAACTTTAATTTTATTCAAAAAATGTTCATTGAAATCTTATTTATTGTATACTAGTAAGTAAAAGTAAATATTTAATTACTATGTATTGAATTAATATCAAAATAGTAGTGATTTTTTATGATGTTGAATAACCTTTATCAGTGCAGACTTCAGTGAAAGAATTTAGTTACATTAACTTGGTTCAATGTTACATTGCTTCAGCAGTTACATTGACTTGCTAGAGGGAGCTCTTTAGACACCTAAGGTTACTTTAAGTTAACATGATATTTATGTTTGATAAAGAAAAGTTTTAACTATTTTTGACTATTAATAAATTTATTATCATTTTTATCTTTAAGTTGCCAGAAAAAATTATAATGGACTACTATGAGAAGTATAAACCTAGAATGGATGAGCTGGAAGCATTCAATATGGTAAATATCTTATATTTAAACATATTAAATTGGATATGTTGCTAGACTTTGAATTCCATTCTATTAAATTTTATTATGGAGCCAACCAATCTATGTTGTTCTCATTCTGTAGAAAAACTGTTTTGGATCATTTCCTACTTCAGAACTATATTAGGTGTCAGTAATGTAATAAAGAGAGCACATGGTAGATTTCTCTTAAAGTGTATTATAAATGCATGGAAAGACGTTTTAAAGTCCTTTGAAGACATATTGGTCTCGATGCAGTTATTTCACAAGCATTCTTTTTAATGAATTTCATTCTTAGGACCCCTTTAAAAGCTTCCTCGTATGATTGCTTGTTGTATTCTACCTCAAAGTCATTTAAAGGGCATTCTTTTCCATTATTAAAGAAAAACCTTTGATCTCTGCAGTATTTATTTTCTGAAGATGCACAATGAGTATTTGGAATTGGCCTATGTAAACTCTAGATGCATTTTCTTAAACATAAATGTTAAGGAAATAGGATTTTTTGTAAGTACCACTTTCTTTTTTATGCCTTCTTTTAGTTGAAAGTATTTCTGGCTCCTTGTATAGAAACATTGATTCTTCTGGATCGACTTTGTTACCTTAAAGAGCAGGTAAATTACATTACTTTTTAAATGATTAACAAATCTTTATTAAATGTAGTAATGCAAGTCCAGTAATAGTGAGGATAGTTATTTTACATAAAGCTAGTAAGGTAATTTTTTTCATTATATTTTTATAGTTAAGATACTTATACCATCTTCTTGTCAGTATATAAACATATGTACAACAGATGTCTTCACTAAAACTACTCTAATAAAGTTTACATTCTTTTAATTGTATGGTAATTAAGATACATAGGCAGTGAACACATGCTGCCATATATGAAAGATTGTTTAGCCAAAATTAATAAAGGCCAGACATAAACAATATTCTGTACACATTTGATTCTGTAAAACTTTGCCTTTTAATTAATTCACTTTTGGATTTTTGAACATATCATGTGTTCTACAGTATAGAAAATTCATTAATGAAGATTATTTCTTTATTTTTTCCATAATCTTATTTCATCTATGTCGAATGACAAAATATTGTCTTTTAAGTTATCTTTAGGGAAAATATATTTTTCAGATCTCACTGAGTGCTTTGTTTAAATTATTGTGAACTATTTAAATTAAACTCATTCCAAGATTTGGCCTAATGCTTTCACTGTAAACCCTTTACTTTAAAACAATTTTTTTCTTCCTGCTGGAACAAATGGATTTTAATAAATGGGTCTTTACTCTAATTTGTATTTTTATGTAAAAAGAACAGTTTTTAAGTATTTAAATAGTTATGTGCTTTCCTAAGTGGCCAGCTAACTTAAAATCACTGAAAAGCCTTGATTTGCAAGTTGTAGGTGACAGAACAATCAGTCCCTGCCAAAACAGGTACTAATTTCCTTTCAAAACAATTTCCATTGAACTAAGTACAATAGTTAGGCAAAACAATATGTACTGAGATTAGTTGAGATCAATAATAGCATAAATAATTTATGTTTACTATTTTAAATATTCTAAAAGTAATACACATTTATGTTACAAATCTAAAATATATAGAAATATTTTTTAAAAAGGAAATTTAAAGTAACAATCCAACCTTTGAGCATTAACCATTAAGTATTTGGTATATTTCTATTTATGCTTATACTAAAATATATGAATTTTGCAAGTATATATGCATGTATATTATTTATACTTTAATTAAAATTGTAAAAAAAAATTACAAATGCAGTTTGTATGCAGTTTGTTTCATCTATGTAAAATTTTTCCACCTCATTGGCTATCCTGCACAGAGTGAATAATGTTTCATCATAAAATTATTTATTTACTATACATTTGATTATGGCATTTATTCATAGTCACAGCAAAATAGGCCTTATAATTCAGTATCTGTGTGTTACTTTATTTTGTCAGCATAATTCCTTGAAGGTGAAACTGTAGATGTTAATTTTATTCAACAAAGAATAGTGTTCTTTTATAGTTTGTTTTTTACATGGGTTTTGTTGTTTGGTTTTTGTTTTTTGTTTGTTTGTTTTTAGTACCAGAGATTGAACCCAGGGGCATTTAACCATTTAGCTTTATCCCCAGCCCTTGTTATTATTTGAGACTGAGTCTCACTAAGTTGCTGAGGCTGGCTTTGAATTCTTGATCCTTCTGCCTCAGCTTCCTGAGACGCTGGGATTACATGAGTATGCCACCATGCCCAGCCATAGTATTACAGTATGTAGTCTCTGTCACCTCTCCTTTTCTGTTCAAAAAATGGTTATATATCTAAATCACTTATCAATTTGCAGGAAGATATTGCATGGTCTGCACTTGTGAAGTTGTTTGATCCTGTGAAATCTCCCAGATGTTATGCTGTCATTGCTCTGAAGAAGCAGCAATGATTTCAAATGAAGCAAGTTATTAGTTATACCCGTTTGCAGAACTTGTTGATAACCTTGCTTTTCTAAACATTTATGTATTATAATGTAAATATTTTAAAATAATTGCTATATTTTTACATAAACAATAAAATAAATAATGGCTAACAACAGAAGGTCATAATCTATTTTTCTATGAGAAAGCATATATAAATAAGAACTTGTGAAAATATTGTGAAAGAATCAACCTGATTCCTAAACTAGTATATCAATAGAACAGTGTGATTGAATCTTTGTTCCTGCTCAATGTTTGAGTCCCTCCATATATACTATTATATTTTGACTGATATTTACTTTAAAAAAAAAAAGGATGAAAGGCACTGGTTCAGATATAGTCAAATGTTGGGAATCATTTGCATTGTCCTCCACATTTTGGAAGGATTTTTCACATTACCATAAAAGAAAAATCCATATTTCAAAAGAAGAAATACTCACAAACCACTCTATTTATAAAATGTGCCTAGCATAAAGCACATTTTACACTACATTTTGATCTGTTACATAAGGTAATATTATGCTCCCTTAAAAGAGTGTGCATCTTGTGAGAATCACTTTAAGTACTCTTGAGGCTCTTTATTTTATTAAAATTAAGAATGGGTTGACACTTAAGGGAATTACCTTGTACGCTATAAAAAGCCAGTCTCAGTAAAGGAAGATTGAATGGAAGGCCAGCACCCTGCCCAGTATGGAAAAATTTCCTTTCATTAGCAGAAAACTTGATCTAACAAAGGATATGGACAACTGAGACTCTTGATGCTCAGCTAGAGAGCATCTCTAATTCTTTAGAGTAGAAAAAGGAATTCTTAAATTTTGGAGTCTCTTCCTGGATGAGAAGAATTATCATTTTGCTTTTGATGGTAGTATTATTGAGTTTGCAGCCAATATAAATATAAGTGATCAGGTATTGTGTACATCTTCTATACTGAGAAAAAAAAACATTGTTTGATATTTTATGTTCTGCAAAATTTCAAACATATCTAAAAGTGCAAAGTAAATTTTAAGGAATCTATGTATTCATTACAAACTTCAGCAATTATCAACATTTTGCCAATCTTATTCCATCTATGCATATATAAATACACACACACACACACACACACACACACACTCCACCCAAACTTACCCCTGCTGAAGAATCTTAAAGCAAATTCTAGGCTGTTTGTTACTTGTTATAAATACCCTAGTATATATTTCTAGTGTATTTTTTCTATAGTTATATCTGGTCAATCACATACCTGTGACTGGTTCAAGAAGTCTTTTTAAACATAATTCAGGTTATTGTTAGATGTTTGTTTTGGTCTTTTGGCAAAAATACTTCACAGATAATATATACTTTATATTACGTCACACCAGGAGGCAACAGCATGTTCAACCCACCTTAAGTGATACCAAGGTGGATCGGCAGATTTCAGTTGTGAGCCCAATTTATCTAGTATAAAGGTCCCTGTCTCCTCTTAACTATTTTAGCAGCTGGTTGAAAACAGGAATGAAGGAGGGAGGATGAGAGGGAGAAAGAAAGATAGGAAAGATGGAAGGAAGGAAGTGACCACACACAAGTTCAGTTATCTATCGTGCCAACTGGCTGAGAATCTTCTCCAGTTTCTCTTTAACTACATATTTCATTATTCTGAGATAAATTGCTTGTTTGTTGCAGTGTACTGTTCTTTTATTTTCCTATACTGTTTTCTGTATGAATAGCTGGCTATCCTAGAAGAAGCAGAAAACTTTTCCAGCCTATTTTCTTTCCTTTCATAATTTTATGTAAAATTTTACAATCTTTTCCTGATATTCAAATATTTAAATAGCATCCATTTCTCATAATAATAAAGACAAGGGCTTCTTGTGTGCAAAACAGTGTTTAGAAAAGTAAGTTAAAGTTGTTTCATCAGCAAGGGAACTTTGTAGAAACTTCTCTATAAGTTAAATCATGGTCAGATGCTGGGTATGGTAGTGCCCACCTGTAATCCCAGATACTTGGGAGGTTGAGGCTGGTAGATCGTAAGGATATCTTGTCTGTAGATGAATAAACAAGAGGAAGAGGAACTCACTAATATTACATGTTGAGTGTTCCTTATAGGAAATACTTAAGACAAGACATGATTTAAATTTTGGATGTTTAGTTTAGGGTTATGGCTCAGTGGTAGAATGCTTCCCTAGCATGTGTGGGCCTGGGTTCAATCCTCAGCACCACATAAAAATAAATTAATTAAAAAATAGGTGTTGTGTGCAACTATATATATAAATTTTGGATGTTTTTCAGATTTTTGAATATTTGCATATACATAATGAGATATCTTAGAGAAGGGAACCGGGTCTAAACAGAAAGTCCATTTATGGTGTGTACATACCTTATTTACATTGCCTGAAGGTAACTTTTTCAATATTTTTAATAATAGGAAACAAAGTTATGTAGTCTGGAATTTTCCATGTCTGGCATCATATTGGTGCACAAAACATTTTGGTGTTTTGAAGCATTTCAGTTTTCAAATTTTAAATTAGGGATGCTTATGGAGTACCTGAATTTAGATTCATGTGGCCTAGAATATTTTGTATTATTAGATAAGTCACTTAACTCTTCAGGGTGCCTCAATTTTCTCCTCTGTTAAACAAAGGGGGGGCGGAATTTAGTCATAATTTTGGTTATATGATTTGTATGTTTTTGTTTCCTCCAAAATTCATGTATTGGAAACTTAATCCCCAGTGGAATGGCATTGGGAAGTAGAACCTTTTGAAAGAGGTTTAGCTCATGAGGGCCCCATGTCATATATGGGTTAGTGCTGCAATAAAGAGGGGTCGCAGTAGGTTCACTCTTTCACCCATCTAATTTTCACCATGGGAAGACACAGTAAGAAGGCTCATACCAGATTCCATCACATTGATCTTGGACTTTCCAGCCTCCAGAGCTGTGAGAGAATACGTTTATATTCTATATAAATTACCCAGTTTCTGGTATCATGTTATAGCAGCTCAAAACAAACTGAAAACAGGTATAGAGAACACTGCCTTGACAGTCTTGACAGTGTCTCTGGAGGGGGAAAATCGGGAGGAATTTATAGGAGTTGGATGTCTGGGCTCAAATGTAGAGAACAGACTAAGATTTGAACAGGTTGGTGACATAATTGTCTAGGATTAGTATATATAGCAACACAA